ACAAAACCATTATACCCTGATTTCCCATTTTTAATGGGTTCAGGGTATAAAAAGATTTTACAAAATATATATATGTATATGCATATAAATAAGAAATAAAGACCTATTCAAGAAAAGCTTTTAAGATAATTAATATTAAATATTGACTTGATAATTAAAATAAAGAGATTTGGAAAACGTCATCAGATATTGAAATAGATATAAATTATATTTAACTTTTTCTATGAAAAGTGTGAAAAGATAAAAAATATATTACTCTGTCTTGGGAACGCTTTTAAGATAAAGATAATTAGTATTACAAGGCTTAGAAAATTATTGTTTGAATCAAAATTATAAATAAGATATTTATTATATTAGCTTTGTCTATGAAACGTATTTAAGATAGATACAAGAAGACTTGCCATTTCTGCTTCTGGGCTGATCTTATCGTATGCAAATAGGCAAAGAACATCATTAACAACAATCAACTCTACTTGAAAACATGTTTATCCTTTTAAGACTTGACATTCCATTTTCAAGGCCAAACTTGAACTCTCATGTCTTACACTTAGGAACTGCTGCACTTTGTGTTGTATCACTGTAATTTCCTAGTACGTGTGTGTGTGTGTGTGTGTGTGTGTGAGTGCAGGCCGAATACAGCTTGGCCCCTTTTGGTGAGCATTAGCATTTCAAAGCATAAACTAGCTGGAATATATGGGCAAATTCAATTGAATTATTAAATAAATTGTGTCGCATATGCGAGTTGAGGCAACTCGTGGTCTCAAGTCCCCAGTTGAGTCCCCCGAGACATGCACAGCGCCAGTTATCCAGGTCTCAGGTCTCTTGGTCTCTTGGTCTCTTGGTCTCTCAGTCTCCTGGTCTCAATGCTCAGCTCTCGTTGGCTATAAACACAACGCACAAATATATCAATGACCATATCGGGTAACTGCGGCTTAATGCGCCTGTTGCCAGCCAGTGGTTTTAATGTCATAAGTTAAAACGAAACCTTTTACCCCAAGCATCGATGCTGGATGCTGAATGCCGATGCTCGATGCTCGATGCTCGATGCCCGAGTCTCGGTGCTAGATTGTCGACGGCCGATGCTAGATGTCTGAGATGTGTATGTCGTTCGATGCTTGTCCAGCGTCGACTCCGATTTCTTGTCAGTTGTTGAATTTGCATATAATTGGACTGGAATCCGGGTCGGTCCGGGCTGGGTCGAGCCGCTGGCAGCTCAACTTGATTTGCACTGCAGCCATATGGTGCATTTCACAGGCGCCATCGCCAGCAGGAGGGGCCGGCAGGAGGCGGAGGTTGGAGGTTGATATTGAGGTCTGCTCTGTGTCTGTAATTTCAGTGTGTGTATTTATTTGACCATCGTGCAAGTCGTTGAACGCAAACTTTGTGTCTCGGTTTTTGTTCCACAGGCAACTCGATGCGACGCGATTGTGCATAAATAATGATTTATTTGTTTATTGCAAAATGCGCGCACAAATACGCAGTTAATCAATTTATTTATTTTGTTTTGTTCCGTTGTCTTTAATATGAACTCTATGGAGAAGCCAGGGAGAAGCCTTGGATTGCTGCTGACTTTTTAATGTACGCCATTTTCCATTTTCCATTTGCCATTTGCCATTTCGCATTTTCCCATTTTCTCCAATTCGCCGCATTTTCTATTTACACAAGTTGCTGCTCGGTTCCACCGGGCCAGTTGTGGGCCAGGATGACTTGTTGCTTAGACTCCCGGGGCTGTTGGAGCCCACAACACCGGCCCCGCCTCCTCGGCTGCCGTCTCTGCTCAGCCCATGGCCATGGCGAGTGGGCGTATCTCATCACTTTCCCATAAACATTCGAACTGTTTTGAAAGACTGGTGGTTCGAGCTGGGGCGATATTGCAATTTACGTTCTGTGGTCTAATTAAAGTGCAAGTACAACTAAACTTGTGGCAGGTTGAGCCACGGTTTCAGGGCTAGAGACGAGGCAAGGCGCCCCCCGGTTCAAGTGCCAGCGCCAGCTCCATGCACATTGCGTGCTCGCTGTTTTGCGGTCAATTCATTTACTGGGCTCCCATTGCAGCTAAGAGATTACAGCGTGTCCGCGTTATCGGCATGGCCTCGAGCACGCAAAAGAAGCCAGTCACGACCCGAACAACTGAGCGAAAGCAGAAGCAAATCGAACTGAAAGTTACGAGTTGTAGGGCCTTGAGAAATGGACGAATCATATATATTAGAGGAATAAGACCTCAAAAGATTAATAGTAAATAAACTATTATACTAATTAATTAATTAACTTAAAATAAAATATATAAAAGTTTATACAGGGCTTTGACTTTTATAAATTAAACTAATTATATTAATTTCTAAACTTCACATGCATAATAATGTAATACTAATAACATTAAAAAATATATATGTATATTAATATAAATAATACGAATAATAATAATAAAAACAATAATAATAAGGTATAAACAAATGTTATTTATAACTGTAAATAAATACTTCAATACATCTATCTCTTAAGAATTTGTAACTTTAATATTTCCAGATTCTCAAAATAAAAGAATAACTTTATTTATAAATATTTTGAACATGTTGCTTAAATGCTTTCTTTATAAGCCCATATCCGCCAAGTAAATATTTCGTGCTTAGACACGCACGCTTTCCACTCAAATGGGTGCTACAGCTGCCACATAGTGTTGCAATATAGTAAATATATCGTGCGAAGGCTTCTCATTCTTTGCATTTGCTTTTGTCTTTTGCAGTCGCCGGTTCATTCTTCTCGTATCTCACATTAATCAATGTTGATTTCAATTAATTTAACCATCTCTTCACTTGCCAGTCATTGCGGCCGGCGTCCGTCCTTTCTGCTTTTTTTTATTAAACCAATAATACCAACAACAAAAGGAGTAGAGGAACGAACGCCTTCACTGTGGGCCGACACACACGCTCCTCACTCGCTCGCTCAGCTCGCGTGTCTATGCTCTCTCTCTCTCTCTCTCTCTCTCTTTTTTTTATTAAAATTTTGCAGTCTATAAATTTCAAAGAGGTGTTGGGCCTGGGGTAGGCGGCCCACAGCTATGGGGAAAGAGGCACGCACAAGAAGAGGCGGGTATGCAGCACGAGGGCGTATCTGGAACGCATGTGTTTCCCAGTTGTACATACACACACATTTGCCGTACATGATATGATACTTAAGTTTGAGATGGCAAACGGAAATGCGTGGAGTGCGCTCGACTTCCATTCAGTCATAAATGAGTATATGCAGAGGAATGCGATTTGAGATTGGGGCAAAGCATTTACCCATCACACTTCGGCTTTGACGTAGCCAAGTGCGTGAAAAGCAATTGAGAAGTGTTTTATTTTGATGGAAATTTATTGCGGCCAAATCTAAATCATAGAGCTCTGTTGTTCGATAACTATCATTGTATGGATTTTAATTTTCATTTCAAATTAGCTCAAGAGCTGTCCGCATTAATTTTCTCAATCCCGTATAGCATACATGAGAGGTTTATTCAATGTCATCAAAATTGTTATTTATTTCTGCTCTTAGCCAGTGCGCGTGCCCTTGCCAAATACTCAATATCATGGCTTAAAGCTTTGTAGAAATTTGCATGCAATTTTATTGATAGTTCTCAAGGACAACTGCAAGCACACATGCATGCAGCTCTCACACACACACACAAACACACACTTGGCAGATGGCGACCATTATCATTTGTCATGCTTGAGAAGCACATAGAAAGGCAGCAGCAGCTAGGAGTCGCTATAACAGTCGCAGCAGCAGAAGCAGAAGCAGAAGCAGAAGCAGAAGCAGCAGCAGCTTGCTAGTGAGTGCATATTCCAGTTCCTCAATTGAGTTTTGAAACATCTCATTCAATGCAGCAGTGAACATTTTTTATGTGGCATGCAACACACACACACACACACACAAAGAGAGAGAGAGAGAGGGAGAGAAGCAATGCGACCATTATTTGATTGAGTTATGTTTTGTTGTCCCTGCGGCGCAGCTAACACGTAAAATTCTATTCAATACCTCCACTCTAGCTCAGGAACAGGAGGCAGCACCGCCCCCTTTCCCCCGATATGCCCCTCGCTTGAAGCAGCCATAAATTTTGTGGGTAAAAACCTGTTGTTGTGTGTGGCAAGCAAGCCATATCATGGCCATATCCTGTCAATTTGGCCCCGCTCTTGCCTTGCCACCACGTTGCATGCAACTCCTTGCGGCTGCTGCTGCTGCTGCTGCTGCTGCATTTTCGTTTTTTGCGCATTTCTCACAATTTGTTGCGCCCGGTCGCTCGCATGGCGTTTGACTTGACTCGACTTGGCAGGCGAACAGGCTAACGCTGGCTAACACACACTCCTGCCGGCGTTTCCTCCTGCCTTGCCTTGCCTTGCCAGCACAGGCAAGGACAATGTGTCGCCTCTCGGATTTGCCTGGATCGCGCTGTTGCCTCTGCATCTGGTTAGAGTTAGATAGATGCGCTCGTTTGTTGCAGTTGCTTGTCATTTTTATAGGTTTGTTTGCGGCTCAGTCGAGTGGGCGGCTCTTGGTCGATGTGCAGGGTGTTATGAGTGTGTGTGTGAGTGTGTGCATCCCTTATTGGTTATTGGTCTGCCTTTATTAGTTGCTGCCTGTCGTCGCCGATGCCAAGAATTATGGCTGTCAATAGCCATTGGGCCAATGCAGGCTCTGCTGCCAGATAAACCAATTTGATTTGTTTGTGTGGCCAACTGCTATACCAGCCCCACACCGCTCTCCCTCTTGCCATACTGCCTGCGCGCTGGTTGATTAAAACATATGAGACACTGGCTGCTACTGCCGCTCCCCCTCGCGCTTCCGCGCCATCGCCTTCAATACCCCTCTCATGGCTATTTGCCCAAGTAATTGAGTTAAGTGACACAAACACACGCACGCTGTGGGTCTCATTTAATTGTTGTGTTCTCTTATTGTCCATTCATAATTATAATCCAATAAAATAATAAACATATCGCATTGTTCAATTTACTTTCACACACACACACACACACACACGCACACACTCTCTCACTCTTCACGGCCAGAACTTCTGTCACGCCATCTTAACTAAATTAAGCCAAAACATTTATGGCGGTCTACGTTTACACTTTCACAATTGGTTTTTTGCCCCATCTCAGAGATGGAACGCGGGGTATATTGGTTTTTAGATTTGTGTACATTTCATTGCCTTTTCTAATGCTAATAAAGTGATTTAAATCATTTATGTGTGAATGTTTTGTATACTTCAATTCATATACATATGTATATACGGATGCTCTCCATTTTTTAAGTTTTTTGTATATGTATTTCATTGCACTTTTAATGTTAATCCTCAGCATTTCATTTATCGATAGATTTTTACTTAGAATTAATTAGTAATAATTCTGTATCGGATTTCCCTTATGTATTTTCATTTATTATTTCTTTCGTTTTCTGTTTTAGATTCTCACATTGTTTATTAAGGTTTTTCTGTCGATCTTAAACTCTTTTATTCTTTCTTCTTCTCATTGCTTTTCTTTTTAACACTGTTTGCCTTCATCTTTCCATCACTGTTTCTGATTGATTTTCCGTATGATCTTTTCGATTTGCCTTTTGTTTGCGCTTTATACAGGGCATCTGTTTGTCGTTCATTCTGCATGTGATCAACTTTTCCTATTCCCGTTTGGTTATTGGTTTCTCTGCTTGTTATTATTTCTGTATCATGATTTTGTTTACACGCCAAATGCGCACGTACCTCGCGTCGCACTTTTTACCATGATTATTATTATTCTATTTTTTTTACGTTTTTTACTCTTTGTTGCTCACCTGTTTTATTTATTTTTCTTTTTTCCCTTTTGTTTTTGTTGTTGTTGCTGTCGCTTTTCTATTAGCCTGAAACGTCGCTTGACCACGTACGACATGCACAGAAGCCAGCGGCTTGGCATGCCCCCTCCGGCACTATTGCCCGCCCGCTTCTCTTTTCGATTTTCAAACACGTAGAGCGCCAGCAAATTTCCCATTTCCCATTAAAAGCGCAAGAGGCCAATGCATAAATGATTGATCCACCCCATATACACCTGGACCCTGACCGTACCGCCGCCCGAAGGGGTTGACGTGCTTCCGTTGAGTGCAGTGCGAGTGCGAGAGTCTCATTCACTTAGTCACTCACTCTTCCACTCATTCAGCCAGTCACTCATGCAATCATTTACTCATTCATTCATTCATCGGCTATTGTAGTTTATTATCGGCGTCGCAGCGAGCGGTCATAAAAACAAAGCTGCTCATCAGCTCCCCGCCAAGTCCGCCCATCCGTTCGTCCGTCCGTATCGCTATCTCTATGTGTGACTGTCTTCATCAGCTTGACTGTATTTTTCAGCTGGGCTTGGGCTTGGGTTTGGGTTTGGGTCGCGTATCCGTGACACACCTTGTTTAAGTAATATTTATGGCAAATGGCTTCGATTAACCAAATTGACTAACAGTTCTGAGCCTTATTTGCTCTTGCCCCGGCAACTTGACTGCGGAAGAACTTACGCATGTGTGTTGTGTTTCTTGTTCATTCAGAAGAACTCTTTAAATATGACTAATGCAGGTAAATTTGATGCGATCGAGCGATCTGTGACCTTCCGGAGGTTAAAGCATAATCAGTTCACTTGAAACTGCCATTGAGAATAGAATTTTATACCAGAACGGAAGGAAAATAGTTAAGGTCGCCGATCTCCGAAAACTGAGCTCCTATAGCATTAATACACACAATAACTTTAATACGGCTTCATTTGTTTTTCTGCCCTTTTTAATGCTTCAATCTGCTGTCTACGTCAAAAGTTTGATGGTCAACGATTCAGCCTTATATTTTTTTCGCGCTTATAAAAAATTAATCAAGTGTCGCCGTTGCAGACATACAGTTTCCGCTCGTTAGTCGTCCGATTGTCCATTTGTTCGTTTCTCCACTTTGTCCAATTCCTTAGCTAATAAAACTTGTACATATTTTAATTGATATTGTTTTCATGTATGTTGCTATGCATCTTGTTGTTGTTGCTGTTGGCCATTGGCTTGAACTGTACGTAGTTGTAGGCTCCCCGGGCCCGATACGTTATATGAATTTCAATGTGCCTTTGTGTGGGCTTTCTTCGACTACCCTCGTCATACATACACAGACAGAGCGAGAAAGAGAGAAGAGAGAGAGAGAGAGAGAGGGAGAGACGGCGCTACGTAACCTAAAGTCAACATAACGTTAACGTAACCGACTGACGCTGACGCGTTGCAACAACGTGACAACTTTGGTGACGCTGACGCAGTTTGTGACCAGCTAGTTGCATGGACATTTTGTTGCTGTTGCTGTTGTTGTTGTTGTTCTACTATTTCTTTTTTTCTTTTCCAAACTCTCCCTCGCCTACAGCTGGTGTCAAGTCGTTTTTTCTTGCAGCTATTATTGCACTTGCACTGCTGCCGCCAGGGCTCCAAAGTTATATAAAAAATACCTTGAAGCCATGCAGCAGTGTGTGGCATGTGGCAAGTCATTCGAACCGAACAAGGAAACCAATTAGATTCAGAAAACTGCTCCTCCTTAAGAGTGTTTAGTATAAAATATAATCCGATTTGTTGGAGATTAATCATGAACAGCTTATTCATATCAATTCCCTCCCGCTGCGAATTTTGTGACTGCGCTCTCCATAAATATATCGTATGTAGGCATATCCATATATTTAGATATATTGCGTGTTTTGCTCGTCTTAGAATATCTATAAATATATACAACAGATTCAACAAAGTTTCCCAAATTGTTTTTGCTTTCTACAAGTGTAGGCAAGATTTTCATGGTGTTTCGAATTCTTTTATGATGAGTTCTTCGGGAAAACAGTTTCCATTTCCGAATACAATAATTATTTTTAGTTGAAACCATAAATTTCCAAAACATTTTCAACACGAGGATGCGAAAAAATATTTTCTATGTTTTGAATGTGGAACATTGGCATATGTTAGGGGCTATTTCAGGCTATTTCATTGCTTGAAGTGGAAGTAAAATGATTATAATATTATTAATATATTAAATAATATATGTTAATTGAAACATTTTTCCTGAAGAATTCCACATTATTAAATAAGAATAGGTTATAAACCCTATGCAAATGACTTTTTCAAATGTGTTTAGCATCTTTTCCATTAATCTTCTCTTTAATATTCAATTTATTGGCATTCTTTCTAATAAACTCTGATGTTCAGTTAATTGATAATTAAGCAATTAGCTAACAAGTTCTTCAACTTGTTGCAGTTCTTCATTGCCAATTGTAGACATGCTTCAGCTTAAAGTAGTTTAGCCAGTTCCCCCTCCGTTTGCGTTTGCCGTACGCGTCTTGGCCCTTGGTCCTTGACTGGCTGTGTTTGTTTGAGGCAACGGCTTGTGGGGTTATCTCAGATAGTTTTATATGCATCACACGATGTTTGGGGCAACGCACCATTCATCAATCGATTCCACAATAATTCAGCTAATCGCCTTATAGCGAGGGAATCTGAACGTGTTAACGATTCTCCGGCATGGACAATTTTTTGTGAATCGACTTTTAGTGCTGATTCTATGACAACAACAACAACAACAACAACAATATACAAAAGAATGTTGTTTTCTTCTTGTCTGTGTGTGTGTGTATGTGTGTTTGTGTCTGCTAGTTTGTTATATATTGTTTTTCACATGTTTTCAACAAATTGCGTGTGGGGAGGCGTGGCAGAGAGTGTGTGTGACAATTTTCTCATATATCCGAAATGAAAGAGAAAATTTAATTTGCAGGTCACGTAAGTTGCTGGTGTGCGAGTATATGTGTGTGGGGGCGTGCCACACACACACTAGACTGTATTTGTGTATGGATAAATAAATTTGCTTGGTTGGCTTTACTCTATGTGTATCTTGTCTCTTTGTGTGTGAGTGTGTGTAATACATGTAAAAATATGCAAATCCAGTCTACACATATGGCCGAAGCTCTGTTTTGTTGTCGCTGTCGCCCACTTTACAGTTATGACTGTTTATTTGGTTGCGGGCCATGGCCCAAAAAAAAAAAAAAATAAAAATAATAAAAAAAAAAAACAGAAATAAAAAAAAAACGGAAAAGAGGAAGAGCTGACACAATATATGCCCATCGATTGTGACCATACTCGCCGAGGCCTGAAACTGAAATAGCAAAGCCTGAAGCTGATGCTGATACTGATAGCAGCCATCGTATACGCTTGCCTCCTCATACCCTGTGTTATGGTGGAGAGTGGGGTATGCTGTGAATAGAGCTTGATACATAGCAGAGTAGAAATGATGATTATGATAATTATAGACAGCATGGTGGGTTATATACATATGTATATATTGAGTCTGCTAAATTAACACAGACACTCTGTAATGTTAAATAACTGCTCCTTAAGTTATTCCATCGGGTAATAATGATTTATTATATTTAATATTTAATCTTAAATCGCAAAACATACCTAATACATGATATCTCTAGAAGCAAAAATTTATATCATTTCTTAATAATTTTCATAGAACGTGCAACGCCTACGAAAATCCAGGGCTATCATTTAGTTATTAAAAAAAAAACAGAAAAAAAAGAAAAACTCTATAATTATATTATATTTAAAATTTGACTTACTAAGCTCTAGGCTCAACTTTGCCATTAAAATTAGCTGGCAAATATCAAGGCAACTGCTAGCGAAGGCTCACAGTCGAGCCGACTCCTGCAGTCAGAAGCTTTCCATCTTCTACTTTTTATTGGGGTTTCGGTCTTTTTTGTGTGGCATACTTTTTGGCTTATTAATGTAACGTTAAACTTTGCTGTTGTTGTTTTTCATTTCTGTTTGTTTTGTTGTTTCGGGTTGTTGTTGTGGGCTGTGCTGCTGTGACTGTTGCTTTTATCATTAACTTTATGCAAAAAGTTTTTCATGCCAGCATCATTTGCCGACGCGCCTACATTAAGCCAACAAATAGTTTGGCTCTCAACCATTTTGGCCAGTTTTGGCACACTTCCCTAATGCATCTGTCTGAGAACTCGCTCCTCTGCCTCCTTTGGCTTTTGGCCGCCTTACTTATCACAACGCTTCCATCTTTGCAGTACAATTACCTCATGCAGTTTGATTATCTGCCCAAGTCGGATCTGGAAACGGGAGCCCTGCGCACCGAGGAGCAGCTGATAGATGCACTAAGTAAACTCCAGGTGGGTAGCTGCCAAACAGCATGCAGCAGCTGTGCTATTGCTCTTGCCACTGCTGCATGCCACATGTATTATGCACAATTTCACAGACTAACATTTTCGTCTCCGTGCCACAGCAATTTGGCAACATTCCAGTTACGGGCAAAATCGACGCGGCTACGGCCAGGCTAATACAATTGCCCCGCTGCGGCGTGGGCGACAATGAGCATGCGTATAATTTCTCACCCGATAATCTGGATCATGGCCCGCGTAAGCGTCGATATGTTCTGCAGGGCGCCAAGTGGGATAAGACGGATCTAACATGGAGGTAAGTGCCAAGTCGCTCAAATAATACTAATGGTGTGCTATTATCTATGTATTTATATTAATATCTATTTGATTGTCTACTTATTTATTATTTACATACATGTGTAGTTATTGAATTTGCTTTATTTATTTATATTTCTTATTTGTATCTATTATTTAAAAAATTGATTGATTGATTCAAAATAACCCAAAAGTTATGTATGCTTCGGCAATATTTAAAATGTTTTTTGCTATTTGACATATGTGTATATGTATAGATATTTCTCTGCAAAGCTAGACAAGTTATAGCATTAACATACATATGTAAATCTAAAACAGGTTCTAGTTTCAGTAGGGTGACATTCTATAGGACTTAAGCCATTAGAGTGACGATGAGTTTAAGCAGAAAGAATTTCATTAGAATAGAGCGATGAATAACAGAAGTGTGATTGTGGAGTAAGTGCGGAACAGAGATGATTATTATTAACAATTGTAATTAAATAAGCCGAATGCGATTGATGAGTTCGAACAAATTCACTATAAATGTAAAAGGAATTTTCAAAAGCAAAATTTAAATGTTTGTTTACATATATTTATAATGTATTTAATCAATATGTAAATTGTAAATCAGTGAATATATCAACTGGCCCGGTTGCACTTAGTTTTTCTTGCTTGGCCAATTGCGCCCACTGATGCTGGTTGTTTGGTTTAAAATTGATTTTCATTATGCATTTTCCCACACAGCAGATCCTTGACCGCCCTTAGTTTCCCTCTTGATGCGCATTTCAATTAAACTGCATGCAGTTCATTAATTTTGCAACGCTCATTTAGACGCGAATTTATAATTTTATAAGGCAAGCAGCAGCACTCGCTTGTTCTCTCTCTCTCTCTCTCTCTCTCTCTGTGTCTCTTTCGCTCTCTTTCACTATTCAGCATCCAAATGAGCTTCTGCAATCTGCGTGGCGACCCTTAACCCCTGCCCCTGCTCCGCCCCTAGCCACTCAAATGTCCTGTGCATACGCGCTTTCAATTAATTCAAAACTCAAACGTAGCGTAGCTTGTTAATTTTTATTACAGCCATTGCATTTTGTCAGATCCGAGCTACAAAAAAAGCAAAACAGAAAAGAAAAGTGTGATGGCGTCCATCCCCTTCATTCTCTCATCCCCTCACCCCCTCACCCCCTCACTTCCTCATTTGTTGCAATAGTCGTTGTGGGTGGCAGCGCCCTGCATTGCATAATTTGATGTCTAAAGTGTGTTTTTATGTAAAACAAGTTTTCTTCTACTCTGTTTTTTGCTGTTGCTTTCTATTGCTGTTGTTGTTGTTTGGTTCTTGGCCATGCGTAGCAACGTCTGCGTGAATTGTTAATGGCCAAGTTGGCCCGCTGTGCCAGTGGCGTTGGGCGGCAGGGGCGCGGGGGCCAGCAGCGGGGCATGCGGGTGTCGCCAACTTGGCGCTTTCATTAAACACTTTGCGCCAAATTGAATTTTATGACGGCCAACACCCGAAAAAGCGCAAAAGAATCTGAGCAAAGAAAGCTGTTGCCTGATTGCAGCTGTCATCTTGAATGTTCTATTTGATTTTTAATGCGCCAGCTGCATAATTGCGCTTGAAATATTTAAGCAGCGAAGCTCGCTCTCCGCAACGCTGGCTCATTAATAAGAACGTCACACGCATTCAATTTGCATAGCTGCCGGCTGCAGCCACGAGCATAGGGGTGAGGAAACTGTTGCATACTTTTGCGCGGCGCTTGAAAAATGATTTAACTCGAGAGAGTGTGGATTACGCATACGCAGCGTGCGGCTGGCGCCTGCAAGTCAGCTAGCTATTAACGCTCATATAGAATAGCACTTGCCACATGCCACACGCCACACAGCACACAGCACACACCACATGCCGCCCGCAGCCTGTCGGCAGCCGTCTCCTGCCAGCTACATGCCTCATGCCGCATGCCGCATGCTGCATGCCGCAAGGGCGCATCGCATGCAGCGATTTAATTATTTCTTGTGTCGTCTACGCTTAATTGGCCATTAAGGCAGAGGGCGGCTGTGGGCGGGGCAACTAAACATTATTCGGCCCCGCACAGCGGGCGAGTCAAACGCGACTCAAATTGAGTTTACATGAAATATACATAAGGCAAATACAGCACCCGCCTCCCCCCTCACCATAGTCAATATAATATTGACCTGCTCTACACATTTTCTTTCTTCTTTCCAATCTCTCTGCAGCTTAGCTGCATGTGTTCACGCTTAATTGCAAGCGTAGGGGAGGCGATATTCGGGGAGCAGCGGGCGGGAAGGACGGAGGCCAGTTGCGCCACAGCGAGAAGTGTTTTTCCATTTCCGGTGCGCGACGCAGCATGCAAATTGTCGAAACGGAAGTCGTTTTAAGCATTTTGTACTCATTTTGTTTTCGCACAAGGACAAGTGACAACATCCTGGCCACGGACAAAGTTGTGCCCGCGTGCCACGGCAAATGCCTCCAGATGCGAGTATTAACTGCTGAAATGTTGTTGCTGTTGTTCTCGTTGTTGTTGTCGTTGTGGTTGTTGTAGTTGTTGGCGCTGCTGTGGCTACTGCTGCAAGTGACAAAGACACAAATCAAGTGACAACAGCGACACAACCGCAGCAAAGCTGCCAAACGGAAGTCGACAGACCAACTTGCTTGTCGACCAAAATGTTTTAAGCCAAATTGGCAATTGTTTTGCAATGGGAAACAGGCAAACGTTTTATAATACGCCATTTACCGAATATTGCTGCAAATGAGCAGACTCCAGTTGGGGTACACGGACAAATAGAAGCTTTCAAGTGGATTCATAGACTATTTGCACCAAATGCTATTTTTGCTGTTGTCGCACACCTTTTAAGGTGTTGAACAAAAGTTTTGCCGCCTTTCTTTTGCATTCTTATTTTTGAACTCGCCTAGCTCCTTCACTGAGTCCTAATTAAACTTGTTAAACTACGCAAAAAGTCAACAATTGTAACGCTCCTGCAATTGTTCAGGTCATTTGCCTGCTGCTAGTCGCGTCGCAGCTCTTTACACGCTGCTGCTTTATACCCTGTAAAAAGCTGTGGACTTTTCATAAATAAATAATCAATGTGAGTTAATATCGACAAAGTATTTATCAGCCAAGAGATTGAAATATTCAGTCTCTATCAATCAGTCGAATCGCCTAATTCCAAAATATTGTTGACCATGGATGCTAAAAAGGTTATACAAATGGGAAATATATTAGCGATATAGAGAGAGATATACTTAGAGTTTAATTAGTGTAGACTCTCTATAAGGATAACTTTCAAATAAGCTGCATATTCTGTTCATTAAAAGTGTAAATCTATGTATATATATTAATGATGATATATATACATAGATTTACACTTTTAATTTAATAATGTACATTTAATGGGTGTTTCAGGCAGTTGAACCGCTTTCAGCTAAAACACTTTCCAGTTATTTTCGATTCGGGCTTTCTGCTTTTCTCTTCATTTTTTTCGGGTTACGCGCGCTGATAGAGCGAGAGAAAATTGAGTGAAAATAAAGTGAGATAGAATTGTCCATTGTTCAAATTGTTATCAAATGGTTGCTGCCAGTTAAATGCATTGGCAAACAGTTGCTCAGCCAAGAATGGTTAACAATGCGCCAATGAAGTCGTTGAAAAACTGTTGCATTTCTATGCAATTCAGCGATAGAGAATTTTTTGTTTGGCTTTAAATAGCCAGAAAATGAATTCTTAAATTTGTTCAGGTTGGTAAGGTTTAGCTAACACTGCTAAATATAAAGAAGTACTAAATGAATCAGAAAAAGAGAATTTTAAATAAAATAGTTGAGTTACGAATAGTATTAACTGAAATATTAAAAATATTTGCTTATATATTTATTTATATGCTTATTCATATAGGTTAATCTATTTTGAATATTCGACATATTGAGTATTGCGTATATTCTTTATGCTATAGATATAGCACCTAATGATTTTGACTGCCTAACAACGTTTTTAATACGCATACGACCTGTTGTGCCACATAATCTTAGCCTGCGTCTATTAAATGGGGAGCTTAGAGGCAAGTGGTGGCAGCCCTGTCAATTGCCAATGAGACAACAAAGTTGCAGCACTGACCAGCCACATTAATTGGCACTTGTGTGTGTATCTGTATGTGTGTGTGTGCTTGTGTGTTTGTTGTGGGCATTAATAAAGCGCCACACACACAGCCAGCTGGACGAAAGTTGGCCGGGACAATGGGGCTATAGCTGCGGCAAGTTGTGCCATTTGTTAGATTTTTAATAACATTAATAAAGTGCACAAAGCACAGAGTCAAAGTGCGGAGCGCACGCCATGGCCTCGCGCATGTCCAGGATGTGGCGCACGCACACACAGGATGCTGAAAGGCTGGAAGGGCCGTACGGAAGGAAGCTGCAATCGAGTCACATGGCAAGTTTGCGTTTATGCTTATTAGCGCTGGGCTCTCGTGCATGCGATCCATTAATACAATGCAGCAGAGCAGGCGCTGAGATAGTACGAGCAGGAGCAGGAGCAGGAGCGTGAGCAGGAGAACAGAAGCAGCAAAAGCAACACAACCAGGACTAGTAACAGACACTGTAGGAGGGCCAGCAGGATGGAGGGGGGGGGGGGGGGGCAGCAGGAAGCTATAGCATCCTTTTAGCTGCAACATAAAGAAAACGTGTATGAATGTCTTTGGCATTGGCTGGCTCATAAAAAGCACTACATACATCAGCGAGAGCTGCGTCAGTTCGCTGGATCCAGGACGTGGGGCACCGCCTGTCATGTTACAATGATAAAAAGTAATTTTATGACGCACTCACAACAATGCATGGACGCAGACTAAAACCAAGAACCCGCTGCACTTATTGGTTCGACAGGCGTTCATTGTCTTTGCCAAGACGCAGGACCCCGCATATGTCTATGTGTGTGCAGATATGCGTGCATGTGTATGTGTGTGTGTGTGTATGTCCTTTTGTAATGACTATAGCTGGGCATAAAAGGCGTCGCTTTTAAAAGCGTA